AGGCTGCACAGGACCTTGTCCAGGCGGGTCTTGAATATCTCCAGAGAAGGAGACTCCACAACCTCCCTGGGCAGCCTGGGCCAGTGCTCCGTCACCCTCAGAGGGAAGAAGTTCCTCCTCATGTTCAGACATTATTCCCTAGGCTTCTGTGATACGGGTATTTTTCCTCTCTTGTGGGGTTTCTGTGAGCCAGGTCAGATACCTGCCAGATTTTCTGTTCCTCTGCGCGTTTCCGGAGTGAAAGATCGCAGTGCTGACTTCGGGGCTGACTGGAGGGTTACCTTATTCCTGTCAGCGAGCTAGCGTTTCAAATACCTGCCCGGATACCTCGGGTTTCCAGAGCAACGTTAAGTCACCGAGTAGCAGCGCGCTTCTTGCAGACTTTGCCATCTGTGGTGGGTTTGAGGCTGTGAATTTAGCAAATGCACGCTCTAATGTAGCAGACGTGTAGTATTTCCCAGGGTGCTGCTATGTGTGGCGCTCAGAAAACAAGTCTTCCACGTGTAAGCCACGTTCTTGCTTCTCACCTTTGCTTTTTATTGAATACTCTGCAAAAGATCCAGAGGAAGAGTGGAAATGGGAGATGCCCGTGTCGGAGTCTGAAGTTCTCCGAGTGGCTTGTATCTATTCTGAGTGTTTTCCTGTGGCTTCCCAGGGTTAGGCTTACTTCTGACGGCAGGAAGATACGAGCGCTTCCCAGTAGGTGTGATTTTTTTCAGCCTGGTTTCCAGTGAAAACAGCGTGCTTATAGTCCTCTTTCTCACCACCCCAGCCTTTGAACTCACGACCCGATTGAGGCAAATTTACTCAGAGGCTGAGACCTCGAGGGTGACTTAGTATCTAAAACTTTGAGTAAAACCAGAGGTGAGCGGAGAGGTTTGACGATGCAGAGGAGGAGCTGAGCTAAATATCGGAGCAGCCACGCAAGGGGACACTTGACAAGTGCCCAGCTGCAAATGTGCAGCCGGCTTCATGCCCCCAGAGCTGCTGGCTTGCTGTTCCTTGCTCAGTTCCTCCTCTCATCAGCGACCGGCTCCGCGTTAACGAACACGAGCTCGTTTAGTAAAGCCTTACGGCTCTCGTGCATCGTCAGAACGGTTCTCACCAGATTTACTAACACCACCTCTTTCCGTTCTCTCTGTTCCACTGCTGTCTGTGACTTCAAGCGAGCTCAGTAAGTACCTCACCCGCTGCATGCTCTGTTTGCGCTTCGTTCCCTTCTCTCTGGCGAGACGGCGCTCGTTAGCGCCGATGGGTTGAAGTCGCGTTGGGTCTGGGGGAATTTCGGGGCTCTGAAAATGATAACAGCGTTTTTCCTGTTCCCTGAGTGTGTGTTTCCTTTTCCGTGTAGAGATGGGTTGGGGTAGTGCGACACCGTACGCTTTTTGATGCTTGTATCGATAAAGCGATGGATTCCTCTGTTTTCTGCTCTTCAACCATCTTTTCCAGAAGAGTAAGGGGAATAGTTATCACAGGAGGATTTAAGATTCTCCTTGTTAATACCTGAAGTCTAATCATCAGCAACTAGTCTAATCGTTTGCTACAGAAAATTAAGTTTCAGCTGCCTCTAACCCTCTTGTAACTGCGTTTCTCGTTTCAGTTCCAGAAGCTCCCGACCGACCCACGATCTCCACAGCGTCCGAATCATCCGTCTACGTCACGTGGATACCGCGAGCGAACGGTGGCTCCCCCATTACCGCCTTCAAAGTGGAGTACAAGCGCCTGGGTCGCAACAGCGACTGGCTGGTCGCAGCTGATCACATCTCTCCTTCCAAGC